CAATAAGTCAGATTAAGTTAATATACCTGTTACATTTCGTTTTAATAAAATATATTTTCATCAAAAAGTTTGTATAGAGATTTCCGTATACCGGTCATCGGCATATTTACAAATGACAATAAACTTCCATCTTGGCTGCAATTGTTGAGCTTTTTGGGCATGACCAAATAGAGGGTTTCGAGTCATTGCTATAACTTCATTTGCAAATTTTCTGATGTAAGCTTCTGCATATTTGAACAAATTTTTGGCCTTTTCTCTTTGTTCTGGCTCTCTAAAAAAAGCTCGGTCTACTTTGGTATAAAAGTAATATTTCTTTCTCCAAAAAGAACTAATAATAGTTTTAATCCGACGACTTATAAACACGTCGAGAATGGGTTCAATAAACATCAAGGCCACTATAACTTTTCTTTCAGTTATTCGTTGAATTTCGAGTTGGTCCAATATGAATTTAAAAGAATGAAAGAGTCTTTCTAACGCATTGATGTCATCGCTTGTAAATAACCCAGGCAACACAAGACCAATGAGCCAATTTCTCAGCTTTTCCATTTCTTCACAAAAATTAAACATGTCTGTATATATCTTACCCATATGCACTTGTAATTCCAATTCTCGTTGTTGTAAGTTTTCAACACCAGCTTCTAAACTCAGAGCCAAAGTGTGTTGAGGTCTTCTAAATAATCCTAGATTTTTTGGTTTGATTGGAGTGTCACTCACTGATAATTGAATTATTGCAAATAATAGGTATAAAAAACATAAAACCATATTTATTGAGATGAATTTTTATATTTTTAATTTGATGTTATATTATTTTTTAAAAAATATATTTAATTAACTTAAAAATTGTTTTTTATCCTCAATTTTTTATAATTAAGAAATTTGTTGTTTAAAAAATGAAAGTTAATACATAAGATATATTTAACGACAAATTGTTAAAAATATTTACTTTTTTGCTAAATTAAAAAACAGTAAATAAATTATTATGTTAATAATCATTGAAATCTAAATTAATAGTCATGTTTCAACATTTTAAAATATACATTTATATACTATATATAAACAGTATATAGTTATACACTGTATATTTAATCAATATGGACACTTATTTCTTGGTATTTTTTCTGGATTTCTCAAATATTCAGGAAGTGGTAACAATTTAATCATATCTCTGCATCTTACATCATCATATCTAAATATTTTATCTGGGCAATTTATCAGTTTTGGGTATTTTGAGTTTCCTTTAGCGTCGTAACACACATTAACTTCATACAAAGAATTGTCGTTTCTGCAACAAATTGACACATCAACTCCAAAGTAATTTTTTAACACCTTTTTAATATCTTTTTTGTGATACAATTTGCCCGTCTCAATTTTTAATTCACTTCTTTGTAATAAATCCCATATATTAACTCTGTCAAACAATTTAATTGCCGTTCTCATATAATCAGTTGGCCCTTTCGGCCCTTTAAACATTCGCATTGCACAACTTCCGTGTTTGTCCCATTGATATACAGCAAAACGACATTCTTTAACTGACATCCATTTCTTATTGACATCCATCATTAATTCGGTATCTTGAAGTAACATATTTTCAACATTATCGGGACCAAAAAAGTTGGTACAGCAGTACATATTTCTGTTTTTGTAAAAATGAGGCCAGTACCCATGGAGTGTAAATCCTTCTTTTACTTCTGTGTTTTCAGGAAAATCACAGTTCCCATCAATACACAATTCCCCAAGCCAATACTGCGAATGAACAAAAAAGTCTGGATCATAAAAATTGGAATAATATTTACACATGGTATAAGAAGAAAGTGTTTCCAGAATCTTCTTCATTGGAAATATATCTGGTGTCACTGGAATTTGATTAAAAAATTGACAATTTGGTGGTAAGAAGGGAAATTCCTTTTTCTTGGCTTCTTTTATTAATTGTTGTTTTTTATTTGTTTTGACTTTTAGTTTAACATCCATTTCTGTTTGTTTTGCAGGTTTTGGTGGTGTTGGTAAATATACCTTTTGTAATTGAGCTGTAATTTTGGGCCTGACAACTTGTTCTTCTCTTTGTGGTGTTTGTCGTGTTTGTTCTGTTGGCTTTAATAACTCTTTTGATAATTTACTTGTTTGATGTTTTAAATCTTTGATTTGATGTTGTTGAGTTTGAGGAACTTGTTGTTGGTCAAGTGGTTGTTGATGAGGTGGCAAATCAAATTGTTGTTGTGGATAATTTTGGGGAATAAATGGTCTTTGACGTCGTGTTTGACCACGTCCTCGGGATCTAAAACTGGGTGGTCTTTCATCAAAGGGATGTGGTTGTGGAAGACTTCGATCTAATGGCTGAAGGGAAGGAAACTCATCTTCATAATTGTCTTCAGTTTTTTTCTTGTCTGGTTGTCCGAATGATAACTCTAAAAATACTAACAATATCCAAAACATGTAAAAAATTATTAAATTAGTTATTAACTTGTAACTGTAATATAAAAGACCTTTAATTAAAAAATCAACATAAGGGAACAAATATTTTAATTATGACTATAAATTTATTATATTAAGTTCAATTAAAAATAATTTTTAGGGTTCTATAATCTTTGAAATAAAATTATATCTTATTATTTTTATTTAACAATTAAAATGTCTTCATATACAGTAAAGACTTCGATAAAATGGGAGACAAGAAAAATAAACTACAGTAAAAATTCTATCGGTGTGTGGTTTTGACCAATCAAAAGTGGCCTACACATTGATAGAATATAATGATTTCCCACATTTTTGGCATCAAACCCCGCAAAAATAATGTCAATTGCAAATTTGTTTTTATTTTAAAAGAGTAAAGACTTGGTAATAAAAACTTAAAAAGAAAAAAAAATGTCAAACAAAAATAAATTCAAAAAAGATAAGAAAAGAAAAGCAGAAAATGTTCCTCTCAAAATATTAAACTTCAAATGATAATATAAAATGCACTGATTTCCACACACCAATCACAAGAGCACGCTTGTGATAGGTGTGATGACAGAATTGATACCACAAAAACTTAACAATTTCAGCAAGGAAGTCACAGATATTTACGACACATGCAGACAACCAGCCAGGCGTGCTCATCCAAGTCTTTGAGGGCGAGGCATCTATGGCATCACATTGCAACATGCTTGGAAAGTTTGGGTTGTTTGGTATCTTATTAGCACCACGTGGAGTCTCACAGTTGAAGTCACATTTGACACAAATGCAAATGGGATATTAAATGTGTCGGCTGTAAACGAGACAACAGGAAAGAAGACTCTCAAAGGCACAGGTGGACAAGATGGTTGCAGACGCAAAAGAGTTCAAGGCAAAGGACGACAAGATGATGACTTTTGAGGCTAAAAATCGACACTAACTTGCTACTGTATAATAACACAGTGAACAAGCAAATTTCTTCAAGGTTATCAACAGAAGACAATGCAACAATCGAGGCTGATGTCAAAGACGTACTTAAGTTGTAAATTGACAAGAACCAATCCGCACCAAAAGTCCACGTGTTTATACAAAAACACAATGCGTTGTTCTTATTCTAAACAATTAAACGATTTAAAAAATTCATATTATTATTTTATGTTTACACGTGTCGTGTTTTTTTCTCAAAAAAAACAAATAATACATTTTGTCATTTTTCTTGATTGTGGATAGTTTTACAAATTTCATTATTTTTTAGTTTTTTTTTGCCAGAAATTAAAAAAGAAAAGAAAAAAAATTACACACCTTGGGAAAACCATTTTCATGACTCCACACACCGATAGAATTTTTACTGTAATTTTGAGTCACAACAATTATTTGACATTTAAACATATTGTCTAACAAATAGCAAAAATATTATGTGTCAACGCTTTATAAATGAAAATTTATTTTATTGTTTTGATAATTTGACTATATAAGCATAATTTAGGTGCCTTTTTTAAAATAATAGAAATTGGGTGTCAGAAAACCAAATGGCATTGTTTTTATTTGGGATATTTATTATTTTTGGGACTGTCCTTTCCCACCCTCACCCCGTTTACCAAAATAAAATGTTTGTCGCGAGTGTTTTTTAAAGGGAGTCCACTTTTCAGCCACTGTTTGTGCGTTTCCATGTCACCCACTTTCCTTGTCCGTATTGTGTGGACGCGGATGTGGTTCACCCCGCTTGCGGGGGGGGGGTCAGGGGGGATCCGCGCCAAGGGAGGACTTGGAAAGTGGGTGAAACGGTGCACAAACAGACTGTTTGAGTGCGTCTTTATGAGCCTTCTTTTCAATGCTCCGTCTCACTCAGTTTCCACTAACTCGAGGTGAATTTTCGGCATTTCTTGCATTCGGGAACCAGACCAAATATCATCCAAAACGCGCATTTACTATAATTATAATTATAAAATTATAAAATATTGTACAGTGGTGGTATAAATCCACTTAATTTAGAATAAACCCACTTAAGTGAGTAAAGTTTGTGAAACTTTGGTTGAACTTTAAGCCAAAATAGAAAATAATAAGTACCACCCTTTATAAATATAAAAAAGGTTTGATTGGGTCTTTTTTTGTTTTTTGAGAAAAAAGCCAATTTTGCTCGAGAAGAAAAAAAAATATTTGAAATGGTTTTTTATTTTAATTAAAATAAACTTAAAATATAGCTTTTGTTTTTTACAAAATTAGTTTCGAAAATTATTTTCTTTTGACGAAAAGAAGCTCAAAAAAGGTTCAAAAAGTGAAAAAAGAACATTAACAAGCACAATGGACAAGCTTGAAAATAAAAGCCGGTTTGAATTTGTGGTCTTTTTGTGCACATCAGTTCAGTGATTGTTTTATGAACAAATAACATTTAAAAATATTTCATAACAGTTGTTGTTAAGATTCAAAATAAGATGAGAGAAAGATAAAAAACATAAACAAACGAATTAAAATAAACGAATATTTAAACAAAAACAATAACAAATAAAAAACATTTAAGGAACAATTGGTTAAAAAAACGGGATAATACAAAGAATTGAGTTTTGGGGATTGAGATTGAATTGATTATTTTTTAATTTAATAAACTTCAAAGTCGGTATTTTTAAATTAAACTTTTGAGCTTTTGTTGAAAACTGTTTTTAAGAAACATTTGGACCAAAAAATGAGTTACATTTTGTGTAAATCGTAAAAAGTGGTTTTTTACACAAAAATGTAAAAATTGAACACTTTTTGGTCAAATACCAAATGAATTCTGGATTCGACAAGTTTTCCACTTGAAGCGTTGAAAACAGTGTTTAAACTTGAAAAGGACTTAAAATATCATAAAGTCTTTATTAGAACAAGTCAACATATACACTAGCCCAAGTTTTGCTTATGTAATGAAATAAATTAAAATTAATTGTTTTTTCTTTTTTGTTTTTTTTGTTATTAAAATGTTATTTTTAATAAAAAATAATTTGTTATTATTAAAATGTTTTTGTCTTATAACATAATTTCAGTTTTTTTAAAATTTTTTTTGTTATTTCCAAAAATAAAACCAAAATTTACTCACTTAAGTGGGTTTATTCCAAATTAAGTACTTAAATATTGCCACTGTAAATAAATTCTATATTTAGATGGGGTGAGGGTGGGGAAAGCCCGCCCCTATTATTTTTGTTCTTTTTAGAGAAAAACAAAAAATGACAACTTATTTAAAAAATAAATACGATAGACATATTTAAAGTTTTAAATAAACAATACAGGGTGGATAAAAAACTGCTTCCGTTTTTTAAACCACTTTTTATCAATTTAATAGTTATAAATAATAACATTATAATAAAAGTATGATACAAATTACCACTTAGGACATAAAAAGTCTTTACGAGGCATATTATACCTTCATGGTAAACAGTATTATACATTTTATTATATTAATATCATATAATTCATTAAATCAAGTGAAAGCGGTTAAAAAGACGGAAGCGGTTTTTTAGCCCACCCTGTATATCCGAATTTAATTAACTTAAAAAATTTTACAATTATCGGATTTAATTCCACTTTTTGGGAGACCAACCCTACACAAAAGAGACACCACAAACGGTGAGTCGTCAAAAGTAGCTATCGATGCCTCCGATAAACGAGATCTTCCACTGAAAGTTATACCGGTGGCTAAATAGGTTCTGGTAAACTCTAAAGGGGATATACTAGTAAGAGTAAGTCGAGCCTTGTCACCTCGCATATTCGCTGTTCCAGCAAGTCTTAACTTATTATTTCGAAAGGCTTTGAAGGAAACGCTCTGGACTTAAAGAGTCATATTGTCTCTCCGTTTTATCTTGCCAAGACGACTGTGGCAAGGAGATTGTGTGAATCTACTTGAAGTACCTATGGCACAGTGATTCGAATGTTGCAAACCATATGCAATACATAGCCGATTATTTTGGCAGTCTGAGCTGTAGCCTGCTTGCGGAAGAAGATGACAAAGCAAGAGCTGCAAGACTGCATATAGAAAGAAGCCGCAGAATAAAAATTCAATTGCAGTGGTTCTGAATGTCATATCTGAAAAGATAAACTCCTTCTACTTTGAGCAGTGGAAGTCCAAAAAACGAGGCTGGTATCCTTCCTAGAATGCTTGAGAATTTCTCATGCAACAAAAATATCTCAGGAAAGGCATGGAAGAACTGCAACATCAAAAGGGATGCATTCATTCAAGTTGTGAGAATGCAGGAAAAGGCAACCTTTTGTGGGACGAGGAAGGCAATCATCACTAGAAATAAGTCTGATGCACGATGCTACTGCTGCAAAAATCAGATTGCCAACATAGGACACATCTTGCTGAGTTGTCCAATGACCAAGAAGTCCCAAAGAGCCAGACACGATGTAGTTTGTGACAAAATCCACATGGCATTGCTGAAGAGGCTGAAGATGATAGATAAGAACACCTCAATGACGGTGCCTCCCAAAGACATGTACGACGAAAGTGAAAAAAAATGTGGTCATTGCCGAAAGAAATTTGCTCTGTGATGACAGGCAAAGCTTTGCTCGAAGACCCGACATTTATTTGCAAGACAATAAAGCAAAAAAAGGTTATGTGATTGATGTCACAATTGGAAAAGATGAAAACCTCGCCACTGCTTACTTCCGAAAAGTGTCAAAATACAGCACACGTTGCGAGAAGCTTCGAAGTGCAAGGAATCTGCGATGTGTGACCACTATTCCTGTGGTCATAACGATAAGTGGACTGATAAACAAGCTTTCTGTGGAAAGGATAGAGAAGCTGTTGAAGATCAGATTGGACCTACACAAGATAAATAGGGATGTTACAATCTCTCGTATGAAGGATCTGATGACTCCCTTGAGTCATGGGAGATCTTCCTTTGAGCCAGGAAACTCACTGGATTGTTTTCCACATGACGTATCGGGAATAGAGAGTCCAGAAGGCGAAGAGATGGTTGAAGGAGAAGACTGTTCCGAGCCATTTAATTCAATAACAAATCAAATTGTAAATG